CACTCCCGGCTCAGCCCCCGGCCATCCCTTCTGGCATGTCACTGCCATGCGGCCGCCACTTCTCAGCAATGGGCTAGCAAAGCTCCCGGCCAGCCAGTCTGTCCACGGTCTGCAGTGCCTGGCTGCCTCATCCTCCATCTCCTCTCCTGCCCAGCGCTGGGAGAACTACGCCCCAGCCCGGCTCGGTCAGCGAGCAGCAGCTCGGAGCTGGCTGCAGGGAGCAGGGGACGGCATGGAGGCCAGGGACACGCAGGATGGGGCGGGGGTGCTGGACTGGGCAGGATTAGCTGTGGCACATGCTCTCCCCCGTGCAGGCCAGCCCAATTCTCAGCCCAAAGCCCAGGTGCCAGGCGGGGAAATAGTTCTGGTGGGCGCTGGAGCTACGTCCACCCAGCCCAGGGCAGCGACCCAGAGCCAGGTGGGCAGGCTCAGGCCTAGTGCTCAAAACAGCTGTCGATGGGGGGGGCTCGGGCTCTGAAGCCCAGCTGCTCCCCCACGCTTCAGCGCCTGCCCTCCAGCCCGGCATCTCCACAGCCAGTTCTAACCCCGCCGCGCGAGTCCTGCGAGCCCCCGCCTGGCGGCCCAGGCTCTGAGTGGCTGCTGCGCAGGGTAGCCAGACCCGGGTTTCTCCTCGAGGGAGCCGGCCGATGGACAAGGCTCCCCCTGGGAACGGGCCGGCCCCAGCCTGCTCAGCAGTAGCGTGAACGGAGACGCCGGGTTCTGCTGGGGTGTTAACGCAGCAGCAATGGCGCTGCCGCGGGGGTGGGAGCAGGTAAGGCTCCTTCCACCTATAAAGCCCAGGGCACGGAAAGGAACAGGAGGCTTCTCGGTCCTGTTTATCGGCCCTACCAGGGCATGAACGGGGAATCCCCGGCCTGGCCGTATCCATGCAGGTGAGCTGCCACTGCGTCAGCATTGTGGGGAACCAAGACTTCCGCTGAAGCCTGTCACGGGGTCCCCGGGCGATGCTCTGGAACTGCTCCCTACGAAGCCAGGCACAACTCTCAGCCAGCGTAAAACCCAAGGTTTATTAGTCGACAGGAACATGGGGTAGAATAGAACTTGTTAGCACAGAAATCAGTGACTTTCAGCCAAGTCCCTCGTGGAGAATCCCAGACACCCTGGCCTCCCCCCTCCAGTCCCCCACCGCAGACTGCCCTGGACCCAGCTGCCTGGCCTCCCTCCAGGCTTTTTGTCCTGCGTCCGGAGCAAAGTGTGACCTGGTCACATTCCCCTCCTGGTCTCAGGTTCCGAAGGGCACCGGCCATCGCCTACATGCAGGCAACTGGAGCCACCCCACTTTCCCCGAGGGCCTCAGCAAAGGTCACACCCAATTCCCACCACACAGGCATCGGTGCAGCACACAGGGAAAGAGGCACACACAATATTAGTATAGGACAGTAAGACTCACATGCAACGTAAGGTGAAAAACCTCACTTCAGCACACCCTGGCTGCTGTCTGACCCCCCTCTGCCCTAAGGCGCACCCCCCCATGGCAGCTCCCCCCCGCCCAGGGAGCCGTGTGGCAGCTCCCCACCCCAGCTCACCTCTGCTCCGCCTCCTCCCCAAGCACGCCGTCGCCGCTCCATTTCTCCCGCCTCCCAGGCTTGTGGCGCCAATCAGCTGTCTGGTGCCGCAAGCCTGGGAGGGAGAGAAGCAGAGCGGGGCGGCGTGCTCAGGGGAGGCGGCGGAGCAGAGCTGAGCTGGGGCGGGGAGTTCCCCTGCATGCCTCTCCCCTTTACTTGCTGCAGGTGGCCCTCCCCGCGCCCCCTGCCCCAGCTCCCTCCGCCGAAATGCCGATGATGACTGGGGCAGCCGAAGATCTGGCTGCCGTGGTCGCCGCCGAAGAAAATGCCGTCCCTAAATGCTAGCGCCCTAGGTTGCACCGGCCCTGCTGCTGCCATGCGGAGAACGAACACCACGGATGTGTACGCGCTGATTCGGGTTTGGTTTTCTGCCTCGTGGGTAGCTGCTCCCCTTGCCCCCCAGGATCTGTCTCTGCAGGTCTCTGCCAGCTCCCCGACCGTGACCAGCGGGTGCACTTGTAACAGCCGCTAAGTCGCAGGTTCCCCTCTTCGGCAAACAGCCGAGCCGTGAGGAAAGGGACCTCCCTTCTCCACCCCACAGGGGTCTCGCTGGTCGCGGGCAGCCGTAGTGCGCAGCCAGCATGGTGAGGGGGCCAGCGAAGAACCCGGAGAACCAGGCTGCGAGGGGCACCCCCAGAAATCAGGCACCCAAAGTCACTCACACATCTTGGCCCACTGCAAAGCCAGCCACAGACCTGCACTTGGCTCTCAGACTACACGGGCAGAAGGGACAATTGTGAGCATCTGTCTAACCTCCTCCAGGTCGCAGGCCACAGAACCCACCCATTCCTGTAATAGTCCCCAACCTCTGGCTGAGTTACTGACACCCTCAAATCACCGTTTAAAGACTTCAAGTTAGAGAGACTTCAAGTTCACTTGCAGGTTTAAACTAACCCATGCTGCAGAGGAAGGTGAAACCCCACCTAGGGTCTGCTAATCTGACCTGGGGGAAGATTCCTTCCTGACCCCAAATACTGTGATCAGTTAGACCTGGAGCATGTGGGCAAGACCCATGAGCCAGACACCTAGGAGAAAATTCTCTCTAGTACCTCAGAGCCCTCCCCAGCTAGTGTTCATCACCGGCCGGCAGGCTCTGGGTCTGACTCTGCAGTGTTGTAGGGGCCAGTCCCATTGCAGGATCAGACCCAAGTGAAGACACAGGCCTAGTACAAGCTGCCAATGGGCTCTTGGCTAGGCAATGCAAGGACACCCCAGCAGGAAGGTGCAGCAAGTTACGCCGAGAGCAATGCAACACCCCGCACTGGCTGTGTCCAACAGCTCCGCTTTATTTCACTCTGTTACAGTTCCGTGTTTCTCTTCTAGTCACACACACGTCAGGCTCGGAGGCAAACACCCCTGTTCCCAGTGACTCATGCTGCATAACCAGGAGGGGCAGAAATCCACGGGGGATTCTGGCCAAGGCAACGGGGATTGGGCCATTCTAGTCTACACGAGGGCTATATTAACACTAGATGAAAGGGTCAATGGATAAATTAGATTAGCAGGATGAACGACATTCCCCCCCCACCCCTCCCGCACAGGATCAAAGCCCCAAGCCCCAGGCAGGCGTCCCATAGGGCTGGAAGGACATCCCTGACATCCCTTTTCCTTCCATGCTGGGAGAGCTGGCCTGCAGCAATCAGCCCCAACGTCCAAATCACTGGGCGACTATTTTACTTTACAGTCAACACTCAGAGCCTTACGCCTTGGGGCCAACCTGCCCCATGGACAGCCAGCCGAAGCAGGAGCCTCGCTGCACGGGACCGGGAGGTTTCTAATCGGAGGAGCAGCAGATAAAGGGTTAAACGTGTGTCTGTAGCCACCATGCACCTCAGTCTGCTCTGCACTGGAGCGTTTGCTGCTCTAAGACCCGGTTTCACTCTTGAAGACTCCGAACACAGGTCACGGCCACGTGCTGCCGAGCCTGCCCCCCTCTGGCCCCAGCTTGCTACGGGCAGGGCTAGGAACCAGGTCAGCCTAGCTCAGGGCTTTTCAACTTCTTTCCATTGCAGACCCTACAAACTTTCGACTGGAGGGGCAGCTCCCTTTGGAAATCCTAGACAGTCTGAGGACCCCCAGGGGGCCGCAGCCCGCAGCCTGAAAGCCCCTGGCCTAGGGCTGTGATGCCACGGAGGACAAAGGCGATTGGAGTCAGCCCAACTTGCCTTTCCACGGCCATCTCAGAGCGCGAGATCCCCCAGAGCCGCTGCGTCGGGGAGCCGCGGCCCAGGCAGAGGTCAGCGCAACAGACAGCGCTCGGGTAGCTCCCAAATCCAGCAGCTTAGCGCAGCCCAGCCAGGCTGCTGGTGCCTGGTCATAGGGGGGGAAAGACTCCGGCTCCCGGGCTGGGCTGCGACGTTCCCCTCGCAACCAGAGACCTGCCACCGTCCAGGGATTTCTGTCGGCCTGGCCGGGAACTGAGGGATGCCTGTTCACGGCTGCTCTACGGATATAGTGTTTAGTGGCTCTAATGACATGTAATGAGACCACAGACACCGCCCGGGCCTGGCCTCAGTCGTCCGGACCCTGCAAAGGGCATCAGCAGCTCCCGCCACCCTGCGCACGGGAACCGACGTTCCCAGACAGCTCGGGGGGCAGCGTCACCCCAGGGTCCAGCCCAGCTGAGATCTGTAGCCGCCCCTGACCTCCCGCCTGGGCTGGAGCCCGCTGTTTGCCCCAGTTCTACTGGCCAGGCGACGCCTGGGAGCCCCTGGCGCAGCGGGTGGGATGCCCCGGGGACAGGGCTGCAGGGGGCGGTGGGACTCCCAGCAGAGCCCTGGCACCGGTGCGGGCGTGGGGCAGAGGAAGGAGAGATGCCAAGGGCAGAAACAGCTTCCCACAGGGCAACCCCTGCCCCTCAGAGCCAGAGCCAGGTGGCGGGGGGGCAAGAGGACGCCAGCGGTTCCTTAGGCAGAGGGAGCACTCGGAGCAGACTCACCATCACGTGACAGGAGCTGTGTCCGGACAAAGCCCGTGGCCAGCGCCGGCAGAGGGGTTAAACCCGCCGGCCAGGGACCAGCCGCCCCGTGGAGCAGCGAGGAGTCATGAAGGGCATGGGAAGGGCCAGCCAGTCACAGGCACAAAGAAATCCCCTCCAAGGACAGACCTGCCTGGGGAAGCCATCTTATTAGGAGAGACCCAGCACCAGGCCACCCTACTGGGGGAGGGGAGTTTGTCCCCGGGGCACCCTATCGGGGGAGGGGAGAGACCCATCCCTGGGGCGCCTGGCCACCCTATTGGGGATGGAGGGAGGGGGCTGGAGCACATGACTTATGAGGAGAGGCTGAGGGAACTGGGATTGTTTAGTCTGCAGAAGAGAAGAATGAGGGGGGATTTGATAGCAGCCTTCAACTACCTGAAGGGGGGTTCCAAAGAGGATGGATCTAGACTGTTCTCAGTGGTAGCAGATGACAGAACAAGGAGTAATGGTCTCAAGTTGCAGAGGGGGAGGTCTAGGTTGGATATTAGGAAACACTTTTTCACTAGGAGAGTGGTGAAGCACTGGAATGGGTTACCTGTGGGGGGGGAGGGGAGAGAGACCCGTTCCCCGGGAATGACCAGTCCACGGGAAGCCCCCTCTCTCCCCCCCACGCCATGCTGTCTGTCCTCACTCCTTCCCCCTCCTCTTTTCCACACCCCCAGCCCCAATGCCTCCCCAGCCTGATCTACTCGCAGTCTAGACACCGAGGCCTGAGGAACCCCTGGCCCTTCCGGCAGCCTGCAGCACTGGGCTCACCCTGCCTTGCTGCCCGAGCCCCCCCGGAGGGAAGGGTGGGGTGCGGGTCAGAGGGGTCAGAGCAGGGCCGAGCCCAGCCTGGGTGGAGCCGGCAGCCCCACGCCGGGCACGTAGCGGGAGCAGCCAGTGGCCCGGCTCTGGCTGGCCTCGGCCACGGCGGCCATTTGCACGGCGCTCTCCGTCTCCAGCAGTCTCTCCCAGTGGTACACCAGGCCGTGCAGCTGGCACCACTTCATGGCGGCAGAGAGACCGGCCAGGGCCTCGGCGGCGGTGACGCGGCTCCCCGGGTCCAGGTCCCCGTCCTCCTCCGAGCACTCGGCGGCCTCGGCCCACTGGCTCCTCTGGGCCAGCGCACACTCCTCGCTGGTCATCTCGCCCACGGCCGGCTCCTCCGCGTCCATGCCGACGAAGTCGCTGAAGTCCTGCTCGCTCATGAAGGGCGGGCGGGGCACGTCGGCCAGCGGCGGCAGGTCCAGCTCCTCCCGCTCAAAGGGCGCCAGGTGGAAGCCGGCCTTGCGGAAGCAGCTCTGTACCGTGGCCGGCCGGACCAGGCTCCACGCCTGGTGCAGCATGTAAACGGCGTCCAGCAGCGTGACCCGCCCGGCGATCTCAGCCGCCCGCCCCTGCTCCGGGCTCAGCAGGGCCTTGGCCGCCACCAGCGCCCGGTAGTGTCCCTTCAGATTGCGGATGACGCCCATGTCCATGGGCTGGGTGATGCTGCTGGTGTTGGGGGGGAAGAACGCCAGCTTGATGTGACGCAGCTTGGCCTGTAGCTCGCGGGGGTGAGCGCTGCTGTGGGCCAGGAAGAGCAGGACCTTGCGCCGGTCGCGCCGCAGCTCCTGGTCCCACTGCAGCGCCCACTCCTGGAAGATGTGCGCGGTCACCCAGGCGTTGGCCGAGTTGGCGTAGGCGACGGGCAGGGCGCGCAGGTCCTTGGGCAGGCACCGCGGCCGCCGGCTCTTGCCCACCACCAGCAGGCGCCTCTTCTCCGTGCCGGCGTGGTTGGCGCAGCAGAGGACGGAGACGCGGTCCTTGGCCTTCTTCCCGCCCAGGAGCGGCGGGTCCCGGTCGGGGTAGCCGCGGTACAGCAGCCCGGTCTCGTCGGCATTGAAGATGTTCTCGGCGCTGTAGCCGGCCAGCAGGGAGGGCAGCACCTCGCTCACCCAGCTCTGGGCGCTGCCGACGTCCGCGTCCTGCTTCTCGCCATGCTGCCGCTTGAAGACGATGTTGTGGCGGGTCTTCCACCGGCAGAGCCAGCCGTCCGTGGCCTCGAACTCCCGGCCTGAGTGCAGGGCCAGCTCCTGGGCCTTGGCCTTCAGGATCGGGCCCGAGAGCCTCTCCCCCCTGGCCAGGGCCTGCTGGAACCAGAGGAACAGCGCGTCCTCCACCTCCCCGCCCTTGCCCTCCCGCTTCCGCTTCCGCAGCGGGTTGGCGTTGGTGCGCCAGTCGGCCAGAATCTGCTCCCGGCTGCGGCCGATCCGGCCCGCCTGGCTCTTGGAGATCCCAAACAGCTTGGCCACGCTGGACAGGGAGGCGGAGGGCGACTCCAGGGCCTGCAGCAGTTTGACCCGGTCGGCCAGCGAGAGCTCCTTCCTCTTGGAAATGACCGTGGTCGTGCAGCACGAGAGCCGGCGCTTGGAAGGGTCTGCTGGGAAAGAAAGACCCCGTCAGCTCTCCGAAGCCCGCCCAGCGCCTCTCCCACGCCTCGTTCCCAGGGCAGCCCTGGGCGACTGGGCCCCACACACCCCGCATCTTCCTTGAGCAGTCGTACCCCCTCCAGCCCCAGGCTCTGAGGCTTGCAGCCCTCCTGGGAGCGAAGATCATCCCCGGCTACCGATGGGGAAACTGAGGCATAGAGAGGGGCTGTGACTTGCCCAAGGTCTCAAAGCACCTCACTGGCAGATCTTGGAACAGAACCCAGGAGTCCTGGCTCCCACCTCCCAGCAGATCCCATTCCCCTCCCAGAGCTGGGAATAAGAACCCAGGAGTCCCACTGGAAACCCTCCACGTGCAGCCCTGAATGAGTCACCTGCGAGGAGAGGCTGTGACCCAGGAGTGGGGCAGCCCACCCTGTTCTCAACCCCTGCACTAGCAGCTGGCCACCCTCCCCGCTGGGGGGCTTTGAGCAATAGGAAACCACAAGACCAGAACACACGCCCAGACCGTGGTGCTGCCGCAGCCCGGCCTGCGTTGCCTGTAAGGAGCGGCAGCGGCCGGGAGTTCCTATTAAAGATCTGTCAGTCCCAGCACGACACTCGTGGGGCTTTTTCAGACCGAGTTTGGGCCCCCCCGCTGGGACATGGGCACTAAACCCTGGCGGAGAATCGACTCCGGGAGCGAGCGGCTGCCTGCAGAGAGCATGGGACACATTCCCCAGCAGCGGGGAGCGGAGACGGGTCAGATGCGCTAACAGGACACGTGGCTACGTGAGGTGCAGGGCGGAGAACCAGCCGTGAGCAGTAACGCAGAGACAGCGTTTGCATGTGTGATCACTGGACGTGCCCATTACACCAGCTACCCAGGGACCTGGCCATTCACATGTGCAGTCACTACAGCTGGGTATGGGCAGGCTAGAAACTATGGGCCTGGAAGTCTCCAGGCCTGAGTCTCCCGTCTCGGGCCATGTGCCGCTGTTTGCACCTGGGCCATCGTACGCCCATGCTGCCCAGCCGTCAGTGACAACCCGGGGCAAAGCAAGTGGGGGGCAGGGCCTCAGAGTGGGCACACCAGGCCATCCAGGCTGGGAACTGGGTCTGGAGAGGTGTGTGCATCACTCACCTGGGACAGGGCCTTTGGGGCTCTCCCTCGCTCGCAGGTCCTGGCTGTCCCCGACATGCGGCTCTTCCCCTCGCTCCAGCTTAGAGACGAGCTCAGGTTTGGGGCTTGCAGAGCCTGGGCCGGGGGGAGAAGCACAGTCGGTTTCTGGCCCTCCCCCAGGACCCTGGCTCAGGCTCTCCTGGGCTGCTCGGGGAGGGGGGAAAGAGGGGCGCGCTTGGGGTCAGGTGTGAAACAGTCATCAGAGCTAGCGCTAAAGGGGCCTTCTTGTATGAGGCACAGTCAGAGCAGTTAATTCCCCTAGGGGCCAGACAGAATCTCCCCCCACACCCTGCCCCCCAACCCTCCATC